GAACACGAGGGTTTGGAATCAAAGGTGGAGTCGTTGGATCTGGACGTCTCAAATCCAGCTTGCATCCTATCACGAGGAAGGGGACGTGGGGGCAGAGTTGCTGGATCTCCTGTAGCCACTATGGCAAAGCGTTAGAACACCGTAATATCATGATATGAAGTGAGATTGAAAGATGAATTACTCGGACGTTTTAGTTCATAGATGGTGTGAAGGCCTGTTGATTTTTTTAGATGTCATCGAATGACAAGTAAATTAGAAGTCTTGCTACAGTCGGGTTCAAATTTTTTTTGGGCAGTATACGGTACAAATACACGGTAGTACCTCGTAACTCTTTCCGTTTTAATATTACGATTTTATGATCCAAGAAGCGTTCAGAAACTGGAAGACGAATAGGGAAGTGAGCGCAAAAAAGAGTTCGAGGATGGAGGGATAAAGGATGAAAGTACGGGAGGTGGACCCAAAAAAGGGATGCCGAACCGGAACAAAAGGGCCATGAGCACTCCCAGGATCGAACTGGGGACATTTCGTGTGTAAGACGAATATCATAACCACTAGATCAAGCGCCCATAACTCTACGCTCGCCATTTGTAACTGATAACCACTCCACTAAGCTAGGAACGAATATGAAAAGAGATAAAAAATAATTCCTAGACAGGGAATCGAACCCTGACCCTGTCGGTGAGAGCGACAAATCCTAACCATTGGACCATCTAGGACTGCTACATGGTGTGCCGTATACCAAAACTTTGGACTATATTAGGTTGCTTTGTTATTCAAAAATATTCCTTTATTCTTTCCATACTATGATTTGATACTCAAGTCAATGTTCAGTCTAATGATGCACAAGTTAGGGGTTTCACGGCTAGCCAGTACCCTTTGACGGTTTCTGATACCCGGCACTAGTAGAGTAATCAGCTCTCTTATAGTTCTATAACGTGTTAGGTAATGAACAATAAATTCCAATGTCCCAAGTATTAACAGATCGTATATTCGTTGTTTAGGGAAGATGATCAAGATTGGCACCCAAAGCGTTCAAAAGGAAGCCAAATGCCGATCCTCCGGCCCCCACCGGACCCAAGGACAATG